AAGTCTCTGGTAGACTGGTGGACACTTTATTGCCTGGGTCTTTGTTAAACCTAACCACCGTAGAAACAGTTTTGAGACTTTAAGATCAAAGGGGACTGTTCAGCCATAGAGGAAGCATTTTGCAGTATACAGATATTTTGTACTCCTCTTCTCCCAGCTCGTTCTTTCAACAGACTATTCATCTTTGTAGTCTGTTGCATTCTGGATCACAGTATATCTTTTTATAGTAATCTGTGCCCTGCTTCCAGTTCTCCAGGCCTTGAAAAGGGCACAGAACGGGCAACAAATCCAAAATGTATAAAAATCTCCTCAGGTGCTGGTTTCATGATTGTGACAATTGTTTGTGTCACTGCACCACTTATAAAAATATGTGTATTTTAAATCTTCTTATATAAACAGGTCACTTGAATCCTAGGTGATTATACATTCTGTTCAGGTTCACTGAAGAAGTTCCAAATAATCAAAAACAAAAAAGTTTTTGATTTGTCATCCATGGTTTCTGAAACCTGCAGTGTTCCCCATTACTTGAGCATCCTTTGTGCTCTTTGGGCACATATGGGGTCTTGTGTAGGAGCTGCCAGGCGATACCCTTATTTAAGCTCTAGGGCTAGGCTGTTTTCCTTGTCACTTGCTGTAGGCCTAAATGCTAGCATAGGTAACTTGAATATGTGAATACGCTTATGCAGTGACAGATCTTACCAAAATAAACTATAGATGCATTTGCACCTTGAATTTTGTGTTCAGTTCTGACTGCTTCATCTTGTAAGTGTAAAACTGAAAAGGAAAAGATGAGAAGGCGAGAGAATGTCTTTCATCTTAGGAAAATTTTATTTGTTTATTTAAAGTAAAGCTTGTGAAAGCCACTGAAATAGATCAACAACACCTTGATGAGTATTGTTGTTGTGGCGTGCCTTCAAATAATTTCCAACTTATGGTGACCCTAGGGCAAACCTATCACAAGGTATTCTTGGCAAGATTTGTTCAGAGCGGATTTGCCTTTGCCTTCCTTTGAAGCTGAGAGGTTGTGGTTTGCCCAAGGTCACATAGTGTGTTTCCATGGCTTAATGCAGATTCAAATCCTGGTTTCCAGAGTTGTTGTCCAACATGCAAGCCACTACACTATGTTGGCTCTCTTGATGATTATACAAATAATGTATGTGAATCGTGTATGTAGTTCATGAGTAGAGTGGTTTGAAATGGTCAGTAGACCAATTCAATAAATTGATCTATCTGTGAATAGAGTGGGAAAATGTTACTGTTTCACTTATACTTATACTTACTAGATCCACTACTGCCAGTATGGTGTCATGGTTTGAGCACTGGCTGCAACTTTAGAGACCAGGGTTCAAATCTCCATTCAACCATGGAAACCCACTGGATGACCTTCGCCAAGTCAGGAAAGCAAAAACAAACCTACATTGAACAAGTCTTTCAGATAAACCTCCACGATAGGTTTGCCTTAAGGTAATCAGAAATGACTTGAAGGCACACAACAAGAAGGTTTACTAATACAATATACAGCAAATCTATAAATACTTTCCCACAATTTATATATGATACTGTTGGAAACATAGTGACCAGCAGTATATAAATAAGAACCAGAACAATTTCTGAGCGATAGAAATATCAACACATTTTTGTTATGCTGATCAGGGTAGGGTGTCGCTCCACTGAAAGTACTCCTTAAAATTGCTCTGAAATTGCCAGAGACTGAAGAGAACACCAGAAATAGAAGAATAAAGTTTTGCATGATTTTGCTTCTTGTGGCAGATTTGGTCTCTGTTCGTCTGGACCAGACTCTTAGAAGTTTTCCATTGTGACATACAGTTAATATGGGAATGTAATAATAGTAGTATTTTTTAATATAAGGAAATGGTGTGAGGTAAAGTAGGAGGCATGGAAGTGGACTTTATAGGAGACAAAGAGATATATTGCAATCCACTACTTAAAGGAGATGTTTGCAATTCCCATTATTAATTAAGCAATGAAATTTAGATATAGTTTGTTGTTGTTGTGTGGCCTGAGGTCATTTCCAACTTATAGCGACCCTAAGGCAAACCTATCATGTGTTTGTTGTTGTTGCCTTTTGGCAAGATTTGTTCAGATGAGGTTTGGTCCTACCTTCCCCTGAGGCTGAGAACATGTGACTTGTCTATAATGTAGTATTTAATGGCTCACTTCATCTCCACAGGTGATTGGGAATTTCAGATAGGCAAGAATGTGTAATTCTATGCAAGGTAAGTGAAAAGACTGAAAGAGGCAGGATGGATCACTTTCTCATCCTCCATGGCCAATAAAGAAACAAAGCTGGATGGTGGAGGAAGGATGGATCTGTTATAAAACAGCAGCCTAGCTTGCTGAGGAGCTAACAGCCTGTGTTTGTATATTAGAAAATAGACAGTCATTCTGTGTTGGCCTCAGAGGAGTGCTCCTCTTCTCTGTAGCAAGAAAACTTCAGGATAACCCTTTTCAATGGGCCCATTCACACTGCACAATTAAAGCACTATGATTCCACTTTAATTGCCATGGCTACATCCTGTGGGGTCCTGGGGTTTGTAGTTTTGTCAGGGGCACCAGAGGAGCTCTCTGGCTGAGGATTCAAATCCACTGCCTATGCCAGGATTCTTTAGGATGGCGCCATGGCAGTTAGAGTGGAATCATACTGCTGTATGAAAAGGGCCAATGTCTCAGTAAACCAGGGGTAGGCAACCTAAGGCCCAGGGCCAGATGCGGCCCCCCTGAGGCCTTTGGACCAGCCCCAGGCTGGTCCTACCGCCGCTGCCACCCACTATGATGATATTGATTATTGTTGTTATTACTTGTTCTTGGGGTTTTCTTGGCAAAATCTCCACAGGGGTTTTGCCATGGCTTTTCTGGGGCTGAGAGAGTGTGCATGCATATATTTTTTTAATTTTTTAATTTTTAAAATTATTTTTATTTGTTTGTTTGTTTGTTTGTTTTTGGTGCTTTGGGCCCCCTCCCATTGTCTGAGGGACAGCAACCCGCCCCCGGCTCAAAAAGGTTGCCTACCCCTGCAGTAAACACTAATGTTAAGCCATAAGACAAGGCTGTCTCTGCTTTGTGAATAAATCTGAAGAAACCTATATATTCTTTTGCCCCTCCCTATGCTCATTTTTTGGTTATTTATTTATTGTAAGCCAGCTAGGTTAGTAAATGGGATATAAATGCTCCAAATCATAAATAGTAGTTACCAGGTCTGCTAGTTGGTTATTTCCCCTGGTTCTGGGCCTGTCAAACTAGTTTGGCTCCTGTTTTCATTTGAATGCAAAAGTAAACCGCAGCTGCAAAGACTTGTTAATTCTACTCCTGTTGCATTTGCAAGGAAGAAATTGAAGTAGATAATATTTGTCACACAGTGGGACGTTTGTCTTCATAAAGATTATGTAGTCTCATTTTGTTGTTGACATAAACTTGGGTTTTACAAACAGAAAGAAAACTGGAACAGGAGGCCAGGAGATAGTAATGACTCGAGTTATATTGCCAGCTTTGTAGGGAGACAGTGTTATGAGGGTGAATACTAGAGCTCTCATATTTCTAAACTTACTACTAACCCACTTTATCCTCTTGGACTACTTGCACCCTGTATGTCTCTCTGTGTTTTGTCAGTAACAAGGAAATGAAGGACTTTTTAAGTAGTAGCTTCTAAGTCTTCAAGTGGGGACAGAGATTCTATTCCCTCTGGGCTTTGCTAAGGCCACTGTCACCATAGTACCAGAATACAAAAAGTTTTCTGGTTTGCATTGACACGGCTGATTACATAAGGACAGAGACTAGCCTAGACTTCAGTAAATTTGCAATCTCAGTTACAACAATATCCCAGCAACATATGAAAAAGACGTTGAGAACCTTGGACAATTTTAAGCCAATGTATTTAAAATATATGTTATTCATAGTCCTGATACCTTCTGATGGAGGACGGTTTATATATATACGGTACTAATTAAAATCAATGCATAAATATTAAGAATGTGAATATCTTTGATCATGAGAAGAGTCCTTGAGTTCTTCATGTCTGCTTTTTTGCTCACAGGTAAGACCCACTTAGTTCAGTGGCCCTTATTCTTGTTAGCCTATGAGTCTTCAAGTGGGGACAGTTAAGGTGCTTGATGGACCAGAAATATCTGGTCCAGTATTTTGTCTTAAGCAGAGGCCAGCAAAATGCTCCTGGAAAGTTTGCAAGCAGGATATGATAGGGATGACCCATTCTCAGGTATTTGTATACAAGACTAGTAAGTACAGAGATGCAACTGCATCTGATGGACTAGGGTCCATTAAATCTCATACTCGATATTTCTTTTTCATACTCAAAGATGCTATCTTTTTATGCTGAGAAAGACCAACAGGGAGAGATGTTGTCTGTGAATATGGAGGTTCCCTTTGCAGTCACTCCCATTTAGAGCAAGAACTTTTTTGATGGTTACTTACCATACTTGCTGTTCAAGCCACCCAGGGATACATGCATGCAAGCAGGCTGCTCGGAGGTCTTGTAGGCTGATAGCAGCTGCAAGGCTGAATTTCTAGTTATAGTCCTTTGGATGGGCCTAACCTTTGGATACCTTTCACAACACACAAGCAACCCCAAAGTATTAAGGAATTTGTTATCATCAAATGTTATCATCCTGCTTTACTGAGGAAAAACTGGGTTGATGGGGGCTGTTGTTATTTGCTTATATGATCCTTTTGTGATCTGGCTGAGGAATTAATGCAGAGTTGCTATGTAACAGTTGCATGATCTTCATATATCTTGTCTCATCTCCCACCCTATTTAAAGTAGATAAGATACCTTGCACAGCTAATGTTTTGATAGATGGCTTGTTGTTGTTGTTGTGTAGATTCAAGTCATTTTTGATTTACGGTGATCCTGAGCTGAACCTATAATGGGCTATTCTTGGCAATATTTGTTCAGAGAAGGGTTTACCATTGCCTTCCTTGGACGCTGAGAGTATGCAACTTGCCTAAGGTCACCCAGTGGGTTTTGGTGTCTGAGCAGGGATTTAAATCCTAGGCTCCTGGAGTCCTAGTCCAATATTCAAACCACTGCACTACGCTAGCTCTCATGAAGAGTTAAATTGATAGATACATGTTTGTTTTATATGTTCATTGGTTCCTTCTTACTGAATTTTTAAATCATACAAGGAGCATATATGGATTTTCTGCTTTGATCAAAGCCTCCTCCTTCAGAGGTTTTTAAACAGTCTGGATGGCCATCTGTCATGGGTGCTTTGATTGTGAGTTCCTGCATGGCAGGGGGGCTGGACTGGATGGCCCTTTTGGTCTCTTCCAACTCTGTGATTCTATGATAATCTAGTTTCTGGATGCAATGAGTGCTAAAAACTGAGCAATGTTTAATTTGCTTTTTGTTCCTGGTCATTTCCAAAGAGAAGATGGAGACATCTCTTATTTGTTTGGAAGGCAGGAATTTGTTGTATCGTGGTTCAGCTAAACATGATGAAAATAAGGGCCTAAGCAGACTGCCAGAAATAGTGCACATTAAATTGAGGCACTGCCCTGGCTCAGTGCTAGGGAATCATGGGAACTGTAATTTATTGTGGCACCAGAGCTCTCTGACAGAGAAAGTTCAGTGTCTCAGAAAAAAAATACAATTCCCATGATTCCCTAGCACTGAGCCAGGGCAGTGCCTCAATTTAATGTGCACTATTTCTGGCAGTCTGCTTAGGCCCTAAATTTAGTTTTGTGAGAGCCAGAAGGTGAAACTGAATTGCAATCTTGATCAGGGTGTCATCTCCAAATGGGATATTTTAAACATGTTTGACCCATTGTGAGGTGGGGCAAGGGGAAGACATTCCTATTTGACTTTGAATAATTCCTAAGCTCAGCGCTTGGTAACTGAACCCTGATTAATGTGCTTGCTAAAATCGGGTCACTCCCAGAGCACAGTCATATTTCCACAAAGGTTTCCTTAATTGATAAATGCTTTGCCACAACATCCTGGAGCAAAACTGATATAAGATGCCCCATCCAGTCTTCTCTTAAATCTTTTCATTCTGGTCTACTGATGAATTTTGCCATTGTTAGTTATGTATACAGAATGTATCACTAAGGTTTATCCTTCATTTTAGTGATAAGCTGAAGTTTGCCATGGTTGGCCTCCCAAACAGGAGCGTGCTTATCAAGATGAGAGAGCTAATGTGCTGTAGTGGCTAGAGTCTTGGGATGAGGCTGGACATGGGTTCAAATCCCTGCTCTGTCGCAAAGCTCACTTGATGACCTTGGGCCAATCATTGTTTCTGAGTTTGGTTGTGAAGATATAAGAGCTGAATGAATATGTCTGTTCATGTATCCCATTCTTAGCTCCTGGAGGGAAGTTGAGAGTAAAAATATAAAACAAAGGACAGGATAGTTCTTCTATATGAATTTCAAAAAAGATTACTGTAGTTTTGGAGCTTTTCAAGTGTTCACAGTTTATCTCCATCTCCTTCCCCAGTTATAGAGGTCTTTGATGGGCAAGGTACAGGAGAGCAAATGAAAATTCACCTCTTTGTGTGGACTTTACAAGCAGTTCTTTCTTCTTGAGCCCTCAGTTGGTTTAACTGTGCTTCTCCCTTTAGTAGTTACCGGTAATATATATTTCTGCCAAACCAGACATGGATGCTTATTCTTGAGGGCTGATATCCTCCTTAGGGTGGCATTCCTGCATACTCTCTTGTTATCTGAGCAGAGCACTGTCAGACACGACAGACTCTTGATCACACTGGAGTAAGAACAAACCCAGGCAGTGACCCATAGGGATTTTCCCTGGCAGCCCCATGTCTTTTGTTCCCTGCTTCATTCCTGCTTGAGTGCATAAATCCTCCCTGGACCACTGGCTCTGTTACACCTTTCCTTCTGAAGAATGGGATGGTATCAGATGTCTGAGCCAGGTGGCTCCTATGAAGGGACAAAAGAGCAGAATCTTTTTGAGGGACACTATAACAAAAGGAAGGACAAAGAATGAAAGAGAGACAGAGAGAGAGATGGACTTTTTTATACTGAAGGAGTCTCTGTTCTAGGATAACTTGTGAGTTGGGCCTGCTTAACAGCTGTTGGTTGAGCCTTAGCAGATAACAACCTGATAAGCTCTGACCCTCTCACTTTCACCCCATTTATGTCTTCCCAGTATTATATAGGAGGTACCATTTTTCACAGCATCTGCCAACAGATCAAGCATTAACTCACCAAAAGAGGAACAGACCCAGTACTCAATCTGTGAGCGCTTCCTCTATATCTGTTGAAGCTACTAGGATGTGGATCTAATTAGTGATGGAATAGGAGAGCACAGGAAATTTTATGTCTGCAGAAACTGTGGTAAACCTGGAGAGAGAAAAAAACAAGCTGTGGGCTTCTGTGCTATAGTCCTGGTCAAAAGTTGGGGGACAGTCTGATGTTTGAGTTCAGTGATTGGTTGGAGCTTGGATCAGTTTTTCTCAGTGATGCAAATAAATAGGAATTTGAAGACTGAATGGTTTTCTTTGGGAAAACAGTCATGGTAAGGGACAACCTTTTTGTAAGGGGAAAAAATTGGTCTGAATCACAGAACTCCCACATTCCATCTAGTTTTGAGTGCCTGAAATTTGTGTTCTTAAAAATGGGACTTTCTAAAGTAAAGTCTTTAAAGTAATGTATCCTTTACTGCAGTGGTCTGCAAACTCTGCCCTTTAAGAGATTTTGGACTTCAACTCCCAGAAGCCTCAGCCATCCTGACCAATAGTCTGGGATTCTGGGAGCTAAAGTCCAAAATCCCTTAAAGAGCACAGTTTGGGGACCACTGCTTTACTGATCCACTTTGCCCTTCCTGCATCCCAGAAAGGAAGAAGGCATGGCTTGTACACAAGAGCAGCAGTCGTAACACTTGGAATAACTAATGCACTGTGGATTTGCCTACCCAGAGAGAAGTGATGTGGCTGTTCAATGCTTAACTAAAGCATGGACTGTCAGCATGGAGTAATGCTGCTGCTATTAATAACTTCTTCTAAAGTAACCTCCTAAGAGAAATGAAAGTGATAGAGGGAGAAAAGCCTGAGCATCTCTTCAATAGGGAACTCTGATCTGGGGCAGCTCCCTGCGGAGGAGAACTCCAGGTTCTGATGGATCTCTGCTGGTGAGAGCAAACGCTGCTAGCTGTTGCAGCTCTCTTGAGGAGGCACCTGTGCTTGTTTCTGTATGTCTTGAAAATAAAGGAGCCAAGCCATTTTTCCTAGCTCATCTAAGGTGCTTCTGATTCTGGAGTGTTATTTATTCTGTGTGTATCCCCACATGTAGCAGACCTGTGCTTATAACTTATGCATGATTGGGGTGCATAAGCAGCTGAATTGTTTGCTCTGGGTCAGGCAGAAATGGAAGTGGGGTTTCTAAAGTCTAGGCTTTAACTGCAAGGTCTCTTTAGAGTTTAGACAGTAAGATGTAGACCTGGAGCAATGGATTCAAACTACAGGAAAAGAGATTCCACCGCAACATTCAGAAGAACTTCCTGACATTAAGAACTATTTGACAGTGGAATATGCTGCCTTGGAGCATGGTAGAGTCTCCTCCTTTGGAGGTTTTTAAACAGAGGCTGGATATCCATCTGTCAAGGGTGCTTTGATTGTGTATTCCTGCATGGCAGGGGTTAGACTTGATGGCCCTTAAGGTCTCTTCCAATTCTGTGATTCTATAATTCCAGTAATTCAGCTGAACTCTGAGCAGCAGTACTCCTGACAGGATCAGGTGTGAAACCAAGAACAGCCAGATCATAACACATAGTCCTTTTACTCTTTCATCCTGCCTCCACCCCAGAGCATACTTTCAGCTTGGTCCTAATTGTCCCCTAAATTGTTTATCCTCCCTCTGACAAGGGCCATTCCAGAAAGCAGCAGCTAAATTGTAATGCAGTTGTAGTGTTTAGATTCCCATCACGATGAAATATGCTATTAAATGTAATAGAAACAGCAATGCAGGAAAGGAGGGATACCTGGAATCTTGGTCTCTGTCCTTAATTCTGAGGAAACAGAAGCCCTAGTTGAGGGGAGGAGCATGTCAACAATTAGGATTTCTAGATTCATTGCCAGTGTGGGGCACATTCCATCCTTGTCCACCCCCTGCATTTTTTGTTTCTCCATTATAGGAACAGTGGCGACCATCTTAGCTGAAAAACAGTGGCAGACAGCACTCAAAATGGCTATGCCTTCTTCTTGAAAGGTGTAAATGCAAGATTTTAAACCTCATGAATATTAAACATAAACCAGCATGAAAAGTCAGGAAGGCTTATAACCTAAATAAAAGAAAAAATTGGTGTGTAAATCTTCTTTATCTAAGGCCTTGACTGTACTACAGCTTCCTCTGAAGTAGAAAAACTGTGAAATCCCTATAGGCAGGTAGCATGCTTGCTTATCTCTATCCTTGTTAGACATCTACAGTTACTATGTGTTTTTTAGGACTTGAGAGGGCAAGATCACTAAATGTGAGTGACCAATATTGGATCATCTGAATATAGACCTGGAGCAATGGAATCATATATGGAGAGGGAAATCCCATATGTGCAAGCAGGGTTCAAAAAGGGAAGAGGCACTAGGGACCACATTGCAAGCCTATGATGGATAATGGAGTGCACCAGGGAATTCCAGAAGAAAATCTGCATGTGCTTTATAGACTGCAACAAAGCCTTTGACTGTATATCATGAAAAACTGTGGAGTGATCCCTTGCACTTGATTGTCCTGCATAACCTGTACTCAGAACAGGAGGTTACCATCAGAACAGCATACAAAGAAACAGAATGGTTCTCAATTGGAAAGGGGGTCAGACAAGGCTGTGTTCTGTCTATCACCCTGTCTATTCAATTTGTATGTGGAAAATGTACTATGCAGAGCAGGTTTAGACATGGAGGAAGGAGGAATGAAGATCAGAAGAAGAAATATCAACAATCTAAGACAGGGGTAGGCAACCTTTCCCCTTTAAGGGCCGAGGGACTTCAGCTCCCAGAAGCCTCAGCCATGTTGGCCAATAGTCCCATGTTGGCCAATAGCTCCTGGGATTCTGGGAGCTGAAGTCCCTCAGCCCTTAAAGGGGAAAGGTTGCC